ACTTCTGGGAGTTGAAGTCCACTCATCTTAAAGTGGCCAAGTTTGGACAACACTGGCTTAAACACTGAAGAGTGGAAAGACCCCTGAAGGGAGGAAAAAAGCAGTAGGTCAGGAACCACCACTGCACTGCATTGCAACTGCAAGATCCTGCAGTTGTGTTTGTGTTCACGACAGTTTCTATTTTGTCCTGAAGCTGCACAAAGCATGTGGTGTGCGTTGTGGAATTTTGTTGCCAAGCTATGCGTGTGTGAGGAAGGGGGGGAAAAAACCTAATGTAATTAAGCTGATGACTGATGATGATATCTCTTCTAATCCCATAAATATACTGTTGGGATACTTCATATGATTTTATAAAAAAAAGGACATCCAGTTCCCATTTGGATCATCAAAGATTTTAATTACTTCTACACCGCATGCTCTGGCTGCTTAATGACTGAATAAAGAAAATGTGGAAAATCTCCAAAGTCGTGAACATTTAAATATTTCAGGTAGAGCAAGAAAGGAAAAGAGAGCCAGTTTGATGTAGTGGTTAAGGCATCCGGCTGGAAACCGGGAGTCCGGGAGTTCTAGTCCCACCTTAGGCATGCAGCCAGTTGGGTGACCTTGGGCCAGTCATTCTCTCTCAGCCCTAGGAAACAGGCAATGGCAAACCACCTCTGAAAAACTTTCCCAAGAAAACTGCAGGGGCTTGTCCTGGCAGTTGCCAGGAGTCAACAATGACTTGAAGGCACCACAAAAAGGGGGGCGGGGGAGGAAACAGACCTTAGTTATTTTGGAAAGATTTGCTGCAATAGGGACTGAATGGTTACTGTTTGCTGCATCTCTGTTTACTTAGACTGTTGACTTTATCATCTCTAACTTTCATATTTTAATTGACCTTTTTATATATAGTGACTCCTGCGTCCAGTAAGACTATGGGCCGTAGTTAGTTGCTTTGTGAATTTTTAAAGGCAGAAGCTTGTTCCTTCAGATACATGGAACAGACTGACATAATAGGAAATGAATAAGTGTATATGTAAGTTATATTCCAGTGAGCATCGAGCCGTATTAACAGGATGGCAAATGAAAAACAGTGTGAATTCAAAATTGAATTGGAACTCTAGCATTGTTTCAATGCTGGGCAATATTTTAAAACGTTTCTCAAGCATTTCAGTAGATGTTGCATCTGATATGAGCTGAATGGTATTTCTGTACTTAATTGTATTGATTTTATCAAGGCTAGACTTTCTGTTCTTTGATCTTTCTTAGCATTTATATGGCTTTAAGTTTAATGTTATTGTTGATTACATATCTTCCTGGGAATCTTATACTTTAGGTACAACTGGAAAAAATATCTAAAATAAATCTAATGTGGCCCATTTAGTTTTTCTCAAGCTCCTTGGATTCTTGCAGTCTAGGCAGAAAGCAAATGACTAGTTTATCAGGTTCCTGGGAGGCTGCATTATACGGTTGTTGATTTGAGTTCAGTTTTGTAGATCCCAAGTTGTTCGGGTCTGTAATAGGGGGATAATTGCCTGCAATCTTATTCAACCTTTGAAAGGTGCAGTCAGATTTTTCAGAGAATTAGTTTATTGCAGCGATGTGCAGTGACTGCTGTGGGTGATTTTCTTTTCAGTCACAGCATCGAAAAGGTCAGATGCTCTGGATATTTTTCTTTTTATTCAATTGCACTGAAGTAGCTGCTGCTGCTACTGTTACAGGATGACTGTTGTTATGATCGTGGCTGGGTTCACAAGTCATGCTAAGTTATAATACAGTTTGTTTGGCTTTGACTATGTTGCGTGAACAGCTGTGGGGCCTTAGTCAACTAAACATAGTTAAGCAAACCATGTCTAGATAATGCATTAACCCATCACTGTGTTTGTCTGCTGCTCAATAATTACAGTTCTCTTGATCAGATTTCTCCTCTTTGATTCTCCTCAGCCAGATAAGTTAGACCACATTTTACTTTATTGTCTGGGAATTGTGGATGTTGCAATCCACCAAACTTACAGAGTACCAGGTTGGGAAAGTCCTTAGGCAGCATGTTATAAAAAGGGGACAAGTTGGATACAAAAAGAAAACCCCAAAACATGGTTAACTGAAATGCAAATATAGGTATCACCCCATGTAGGAAAGGATAAGGACTTTCCAGTTATTGGTGGACTATGTTTCCCAGCTCCATTCAATATTCACCAAGCTGGCTAGGACATTCAACATCTGGAAGAGTACAGGTTTTACCATCCCTACTTCTGTATTTAACTGGAAAAGGCTACTAGGAGGTATACTATAGATCAGCCTTCATCAATCCCTATCACCCATAGCCTAAATGCCCCTTGGCTGGGCTGGCTATAGTTTATGTGACTTAAAATCCCAATATATCTAGGTAAAGCTGCTGCAATTTTTTTTCTAGCAAAAGGATGTTTTGTTGACTCACTTCTGTTGTGTTTGCAGAACTTTTAATCAAACAGTTGGAACATTTGAAGAACTTCAGGCATACCTTGTGGGTTATGTAGCTACTTTGGCTCGAGATGATGAAGAAAGGCATGCTCAGTAAGTTTTCCAACTGATTTCTTAAACTGTGAGGAAGGTAAGCTCACCATTGTTGTGTCAGGGTAAACAGAATTGTAACATCAGGCTTATAAAAATACACAAGAAATCATACCACCTCTGGTGTTGCTAGTTTGGTAAACATTTTGGTCAACAATTTGAAGCTTAAGAAAATCAAGCTTGCAGACATACATGGGATTTTTGTTTTAGCTAACAGTTAAAACAACAGAAAATACCAAGACTCAGGAATTCTGCTTTAATGAATATAAGATGCTGCCCTTTGCTTCCAGCTGTTTTCTGCTAAAACTATTCAGCAATGACACATTCCAACCCAGCTGTGATTTCATATCTGGGCTGTGTTTCCATAGTGCATATAAGTGGCAATTATTTGGCAATCTTTCAAGCTTCCGACATATTTTCCATAATTCAGAGTCCTTGTTTCACCTTCTGCTCTTTACATAAATATGTTCAGTTTGGATTCCCTGTACAAGATGACAGGAAACTCTTAAGCATGGAAATCTAAAATGTTCTCTGAGGTCTTCCATGCTATCTTAAGTCTAACATCCTGCCAGTCATTTCCCCTAAGACCAAACAGACTCACTTGAGACAAGTAATTTGTTTTGCTGTCCCCCAGTGCAGACCCACTGACACTTCTATAATTCAGTTTTGAAATTAGTAAGTGATCCACCATTTCTGTTTAAAACTTCTATATTGTGTGTTACTTTATAAATGTGCCCCTTTTATTTTTAGTAAGGACAGAACAAATATATTTCCAGTAAAAGCTAATCAAGATCACTTGGTACTATCTGCTACCACCATCACTAATGGAGATGCTGACTGAAACCATGGAAATGCATGGATCCCTCACAGCAATTGTAGATGATGGTAGGGTCCCCAGTTTTTGTCCCCAACAGGATGCTCACCTTAGGCCAAGCTGGGTGGCAATTCTGGGAGTTGTATTTCCAATATATCTGGAGGGAAAAAGCTTGAAGAAGCCAAGTGGCCCATCAGTCTTGTTCTTGTTTTAGTCCTTTTAATTTTAATGGATTATTCTAGTGGTCTATAATAAAAAACAGGAATCAGGGTGAAGAAATAACAGTTGGTTTTCTAATGAAAAATCCTTTTATTCTTGCTTCATTACTATAAATTCACAAAAGGCCACTGAGAGCTATAATAAAGCCAGATGACTCTTTATTGAACAAATTATCATTTCAGGCCACAGATATACAGTACACACAGAGAGAATGCAATTGATATTTAACATCTCATGAAATGTTGCTATTAGATGAAGACTTTAAATAGCACTGTGGGCGATGCCTGGGGTTCATTTGCATGGATTTTTGACTTCTGAGGGGGAAGAAATCCTTGTAAATTTAATTGGACTGCTTCACTTGTGCTTCAGTCAGATTTTCCTTAAATAGAAGATTTAAAATTCCTTTTTTCCAATTAGTGCTCCTAAAGCTTATTCATTATTTTTCCCAGTCCCAGTATTGAATTCCCTGTATTATTGTACAGCAAACTTGGATCCTTATGGCATGCTAAGTACCTTTGAATTCAAGGGCACTGAAAATACTACAGGGTAATCTAAGCAACCTGATTCTGTTGAGTTAGATCAGTCATGATGCCACAGTTACTGTGACAGAAACATAGAACAACTGACAAAGGACACTTTCCTTCCCTTTGTTGTTATATCATTAAAAGTTAGGCAGGATTGCCCCAGGCACTGTCACATGGATGTGACATAAAAGTTCTGCATGATGCCTTGAAGGATCAAATTCCTACACATATGTAGAAAAAGAACAGACTCCCTCCTTCTCCCATTCACTCCGTTAGATGGCGTACCTGCAATCAACATATACAGAGATATATTTTTCATTGAAACGAATTAGGATTTCTTTCTGAACGGTGAGAAACACAGATTGCTTGTGATGCTCAGGTTCCAAGTCTACACAGTCTCCTTTGAAAAGGTTCCAATGCTTGCCAGAATGGGAAAGAATCATCTCCTTCCCCAAGGCTACCTTGAGTGCCTAGACATAGCAAGGCAGGGTGTAAATCAAAATAATAAATCCATCACAGATGTCATGAGACCTACCACCCTAAACAACCAGGATGCTAATTCCTCAAAATGACACATTGCCTCTGGGTAGAAACCTCCAAGATTCACCACCATTGCTGCTAGAACCCAAAGAGCAGAGATGTTTGTGCTAAAGCCCAGTACTGATTCTGTAGTATCTCTGAAGAAGGCCTCCATTTTTCAGCTCTACTTAAGAGGAGGAAACCATTGGATGTGGGGCTTAGGGTAAGGGGTAAAGCTGGCTAATTTGCCATAAAATGCCCAGTCCCCGGTCCACTAGATACTGTTGCAACATGTCATTGAGGAAACTTTACATATAGCTTTATTTACCTAGTTTTAGTTTCTGCTGGACAGCTCCTTTGCCAGTCAAGGCTGCTGACACTATCCATGCTGCTGACCTCTCCTCTGCTCTGTTTTGGTAGTATACGTACCTCTCATGCTCATATGAAATTGGTGATCAAGCCAACTGGCACAGGAGATCCTGCATAAAATCATAGTGCTTGATCACAGGGATAGGTAACCGAGGTGCACCCAGGTTGTATGTACATTCTGACCATGCCAGATTTTAGTAGCAAAGTGTCTGAATTTCAGCAGCACAGTTTGAATAAAGAGGGGTGTTTGGTTTTATTTTGCAAAATAAATTGTGAAATGGGAGCACGATATGCTAAGTGAAGAGGGGTTTAAGGGTGGAAATGTGAGTGGTTCCCATCCTTAACACCTTCCTCAAAACGCAAGCTGAGATGTTGTGCCCCTGCCCTGTCTCAAAAAGAAAGAAATGACAAACTCTTTCCATCTTGTTGCCAAGAAAACAAAATGGGTATATCTATATAGTCACCAGGAGTTGAGCTTGACTCAAAAGAGACATTACCTTTTAAGTCAGAAACATCCAGTTTCTGAATACTTCATCAGCAACAAAGCACCTTTGGATTCAGAGCAAATCACAGGCATATTAGGAAACTGTTTTGTGAAAAGCTAACCGACCATTGCAGAATTTCTCACTTGCCTGCTCAATCAGGCTGAACTAAAGAGGACGTTTTATTTCTTTTAACGCAGAGTCTCTTCCGTGGAGCGACTACCTGGTGATGTCTCTTTGGAGATGATTCAGTTGAAAGAAAAAGTTACCCAGTTTCCCTCCTCTTGCCCTTTTCAGAACCTGGAAATTGTTGCTACTCTGGGTGTTGGTGGATTTGGAAGAGTTGAACTTGTAAGAATTTAGCATTTAAACATCTGACTTTGGATTGGGGAAGTGCTTTGATATAGTTGTGTTCTTACATTATCTAAAACTTGATTTCTTGTGATGCTTCTTTTGTATTCATACTCCAACATACAAATGAATATTATTGGTAGTCCATATTTGATTACCCATAAGTACAATACATAGTGATATGTTTTCCTCTGTAGTCTACATCCTCCATGATATTAATACAACTGACTGTTTAAATTGTGCTGGTCTTTGATAGTTACAGGATATAATGTGTGTGTGTGTGTGTATGGGTGCATACAGAAGAGAGATAAAGAGCATAGCAAAGCTGGATGGGATGGAATCTCAGGGCTGCATATGGCCCCCAAATCTCTCCCTCGGTCTCTGTCTCTCTCTCTGTGACCCCTTTTTCTAAGCACAGTTGACATTAAATTAGTAGCATGGTTTCCTGCCATGTTATGATAGGAAACACAAAACCTGTAGGATAAGCCCTAAAGTGGCTAAGTTTTTTTAAAGACTTCTGGGGAAGAAATGGCGAACTGAAGATGGCTTCGCTAAAAGCGGAACCAACAACCGCACCAGAATGAAGAGCTGGAGAGTAGAATGGCTCTTCGTAATTCCTCTCTGGACAAGAAGAGGACTTGAGATTGCTCAGAAGTGCTCCAGACAGTTGCTCTTCATGAGGAGGCCACAAGACAGTGGTCTCTGGTGGGTTTAGAGCTATGGGAGATGAGGGAATAGCTATCTTGCTCAAACCATGGTCACTGCCTTTAAGGACACTGGGTTCGCATACTTGGGACAAAGAAAAATGAAAAATCAAGTTCTAGGACATTATTTGAAGGGACTAAAGATCAAGATTGTTAAAAGTAAAATGAAGGAATATAAAGTG